ACAGCCATCTCCCCTGTGCGCTTCAGCACACTAAAAGAGCAAATTCCATACTAAAAGAGCTTCGCGGGTGGAACGTCTTTTTAAAGACACGTCTTTTTAAAGATGTCATACCATCCGTGCGTTTCTGGGTGCGGTCGTTACCTGGCGCCGGGCGATGGTCACGGTTGCTGCCTCTCGTGCCTGGGCATGAAGCACGCTGAGGTGGCTTTCGTGGATGACTCGAGCATCTCGGAGTTGCGGACCAGACTCCGTTACCTGCAAGGGGGCAGTGCCCGTGCCACTGCCTAGATCTGGGGTTCCCTCTGGCGGCAGCCGGGGGCGTCCTTTTTCTAGCAGTGGGCGGACTGGTCCGTAACCGAGACGTTATTTTAAATGCCAATTTCCCAAAATAAGTGTTTAGTGGGAATTGGAATTTTAGTGGGGATATGAAGTCTTTTTTCACAATAATATGATTATGTGAAGCACAATCATTATACAAATTATTAGTTAGGTATTGTAAGTTAGGTGTCTGTTTCTATGTAATTCTTATACTCAATTGTTAACTCTGCTGTTATTGTAATGTAATAAACTGTGTCCTGATGTATCTGATGTGTGTAGACTGACCATCTCTATGTATAGTGTAGGTCTCAAAGCCATAACAGAGCTGCGCTTTCTCCAGAACACTCAGGAGTCTCTCAGGTGGATCTTTGTCCCATTGTTTCCTCACTCGTCTTTCCTGGGTCTCCACACACTCAGCCTCTATAACACAGCAAGAGAATGCAAGAGCTGACGATTCATATTTAAGTGCTACCCTAAGTTACTGACAAACTTTCAATGTACTCCAAGGTCTTTCAAAGAAGCATCCTTGTTACAGTGTAATTATACATTAAAGCACTGGGTAATATTAATTAACATCATGTACTTACTATAGGGTTAGAATAGGGGTTTGGTTTAGGGTTGTTGCATGTAATTATGCATAATTTATGGTTAATACTATAGTAAGTACATGTAACATATGTAACAATAACACTGTAAAATAAAGTGTTGCCCAAACAACTACCAAGGTATATCCAATAAACAGGGTAATGCCATTGTACGTATCTGTGGTACAGTACCTGAAATGAGATCAGCCCGTTCTGCATTTTCCATGCTACCAGTGGAAATTATGTCAGCATTTCCTAGGACCCCCAGCACGGTATTACAAGTTCTGACTGCCCACCTCTTACGAGAAGCTGGGTCATCAATGCTGTTGTTTTCCACAGGGGACTGTTCTACTTGCATAGTTCCTGATCACAAATGAATAAATTACTTCATCAGTTAGGTTGATTCACTACAGGTTTATAACTAAAATTAGGAATTAGTTAATGTGTAGCTGATCTGATCTAGTGACCTTCAGTGCTAGTTGTGGTCACTAAACTCTTCTGTCCTAAAAACATGGCCACTTTCTCTCCTTCCTCTCTCCTCCAGTGGCGTGTTTGTTCTTGCACCAGTTCCTTATTCTGCATAGCAAAAAAACAGAGAGAAATAAAGAGCTGCTGTAGTATAATTTTCAAACTAATTTAAGGGTCAATGACAATTATGAGTGTCCACGATAAAAATCTAGTTTAACCACAAGTTCTTAGAAATATACTCTTTGTATATTTTGTAAATATATTTTTAAGGTACAGTGGCATGCAAAAGTTTGGGAACCCCTTGCAGAATCTGTGAAAATATTAATCATTTTAACAAAATAAGAGAGATCATACAAAATGCATGTTATTTTTTATTTAGTACTGTCCTGAGTAAGATATTTTACATACCAGATGTTTACAGTTAGTCCACAAGAAAAAAAATAGCTGAAATTATTAAAATAACCCCATTCAAAAGTTTGGGAACCCTTGGTTCTTAATACTGTGTGTGGTTACCTGGGTGATCCACGACTGTTTTTTTGTTTTGTTTTGTGATCGTTGTTCATGAGCCCCTTGTTTGTCCTGAACAGTTAAACTGAGCACTGTTCCTCAGAAAAATCCTCCAGGTCCTGCATATTCTTCAGTTTTCCAGCATCTTTTGCATATTTGAACCCTTTCCAGCAGTGACTGTATGATTTTGAGATCCATCTTTTCACACTGAGGACAATTGAGGTACTCAAACACATTTATTAAAAAAAGGTTCAAACATTCACTGATGCTCCAGAAGGAAACACTATGCATTAAGAGCAACAGAAGATACTTGCATGTTTCCCGGAAGACAAATTAAGTACAATTTAGATTGATCTTCAAATTCAAAAAGTTTCCCCCCCCCCGATCTTAATGCATCATGTTTCCTTCTGGAGCATCAGTGAATGTTTGAACCTTTTTTAATAGTTTTGTTTGAGTCCCTCAAACTTTCTAATAACCAAGGAATCCTAAACTTTTGAATGGGGTTATTTTAATCATTTCAGCTATTTTTTCTTGTGGACTAAATGTAAACATATTTTATGTAAAAGATCTTACTCAGGACAGTACTAAATAAAAAATAACATTTTGTATGATCTCTCTTATTTTGTTAAAATGATTCACATTTTCACAGATTCTGCAAGGGGTTCCCAAACTTTCGCATGCCACTGTAAATACAAGTTCTTTACAAATATCTTGAATTGCCAATTCTTAAATATCATCAGTTTTTAGGGGGAGTTGCACCACATGCCATTTTACCCGATTTAACCTTTTCTTGTCAATAGGTCAGATGATCTGAAAATACTTATTGGCCTTGACACACACAGTCATGGGGATCCTCTTGATTATATAATTTCCTGTTGTATATTCTTTTCCCCCTGCATATTTCTGCCTTTTGGCTGCACCACATGGCTTTGATTTATTGTTAAATATTACTTAGCAGTGTAGCATTTTTTTATAATTATGAAAGTAATAAAATATACAATATTATGTGCCAAAATAATAAGGTTTTATTTTCAAGAATTTAATTATTTAAAAATTTTTTTTTAATTCATTATGATATCAGGACAGTTGTCCAACTTCCAAGAATAAATAAATAAAAATAAATTTTAATTTAGAACTTAAAAACAATATCATAATAGGGGAGTTGTATTGAAGTCACTGTACATACGAAGTGTATTCTAATGTATTATTTTAATGAAATAGTTATAGAGTTTTAGCCAAAATGATGCTATAATGAAAATAATAAATAAATCTGATTTCATTATCAATTTCCTCCTGCATCCCTCCATCAAATATTGACGTGGCTGGTCAAGACTATGTATTTTAAAAATAATTTCATTGAAGAATGAGCTGATGTACCTCTGGCACCAGGTGTTTATGCAGCAGTTGAGACACACGGTGAGAGCTGAGGATTGTGTGTACTGAGGGTCTGTCTCCAGGGTTAGTCTTGAACATGTGTTTGATGAGGTAGTGCAGCTCGTAGGAGAAGTGACTGGGTAAAGGTGCATATGCCCCACGACACACCTTCAAGATCAGACTCTTCCAGCTACGTGACTGAAACTAATGAAGAGAAGTTTGACAGTTAACGAAGACAGGAAAATGTTAGGACAGGTATCCTTAACATCCAAAACACACAGTAACAGCAATGCAACTCTAACATTTTACATTGTTTGATGTAAAAGCCATTGTTACTATACAACTTAAGGATGTTAAGAGGAAAATACCGGGTGCTGGAGTGTGCAAAGTTCATACAAGACACAGCCAAGAGACCAGACATCACTGTAATATACATGCATATTAGTACAAATGTAATCTGAAATGTAAAGCTGGTGTCAAACTGAGGGAATTACTGTAATATCAGGAAAGTTGTACCTTTTATTATTGTACGGTTTGTTGTCCCATATTTCTGGAGACACATAATATGGAGTACCCACATATGTCTGAGCATATGCTTTTGCACTTGAAGAAATACATATCAAATTATTTGAATGACTATATTTGTGCACAGAATTGTAAACACCAAAATAAAATTAAAGAAAATTGCTGAATACCTGTATAGAGAACAAGCTGAACCAAAATCCCCCACCTTCACAGTTCCACTGTCGGTCAAGAAAATATTCTGCAATGAACATAAGAAGGAAACTAGCACTGATTTTTATGCATTAAATAAAATCCTCCATTAATTCACAAGAGGTTCAAGGGTGGTGCTTCTACTTGATTGACAACTTTGACAGCAATCAAATGGTGATGGTATGGTGAACTGATAACACTGGCCTAACCAAGGCCAAACACAGTAACTATACATTTTGAGAGCAAAGATCAAAATCAGGGGCCTCATTTATAAACCGTTGCGTACGCACAAAACATGTCCTGAAAGAGGCGTACGCCACTTCCTACGCAAAAGGTGGGATTTATAAAAACAGACTTGATAACTTTTCCTGTGGCATGCTATGTTTTAATGCCAGCGAGGAGTGCTATTTGCACAATAATTAATCTTTAAATGAAACTGCAGATCACATGTTATGAGAAAAGACACTAACCTTTTATAGATTTTGATATATTTATGCTAAAACATAACAAGGATACTGGATGCTTTTTAGCAATAAAAATTAATGTGTATGGCACAAATGGCATTTATAGTCCGTATCTCATATTTCCATAATGTGTTGTACCTTTAACGGTGTTAAACATGGTGTCACGTGGATGGGAATATGCATGGAAATGACATGCAGAAGAGGTTATGCACAGTAAAACTAGGCGTTGTAAGCTCCATATATGGTGATTTCGGGGAGGAGTCGGGGTGCAGATGCACGTACGCACAATCGTCCCCGACTGGGATTTATAAAGGGATTTTTGCGCAGGTTCTGGCATACGCAAAATCTAGCTTTTGTGCATACGTACACTTTTAGGATGAAATCTACGGAGAGTTTTATAAATCAGACCCCAGGACAGTTGTATCACACTGAAAGTTTTTACTTTATACCCTAGAAAATGAATTAAACAAAAAATTGAAATTAAAAACATGCCTATCATAGAATTGTTGTAAGTCATTGTTATGCATTTTTAATGAGACAATGGATCTATACAAAAAATGGCCACGTCATCCCATCAAACATTGATGTGGTTGGTGTAGTGACAGTACTGTTTTGCCTTTGCAGGGTAGAATAGTTGCCCTGAAAATGTATGTGCAAGCAAATAATTTTGGGCTTCATTTCTTAATACTTAATTTTCCCCCTGCAAAATAAATAAATAATAAATGTTTTTAAAATAAGGAAAAAAAGTCACCAGACACAATAACAAGTACCTTTGATTTTAAATCCCTGTGAAGTACTCTCTTGTCGTGAATGTGTTTGGTGCCTAGACACATCTGTGCAAACCACTTCAGGATCTACAACAAAGAGATGACAACGGTGTATAAACTGCATAAAAATAACCAAACACAGTACCTCCTTATTCTTGATAACCCAAACTTACTATCAAGTTTATGTTAGCACTCATTACAAAGATAAAATGTATATTAACAACTGTGCCAGACAGATGCTTGTGTTTTGTGCTACACAACTTTCAAGTACCATGTATAATATATGAAAAATTATAAACCTGTTTAATTTTAAGAATTAATTTGAGAACAGGACTATCATCTTTGTCATACCACGTCCTCAGAGAACAGGGCATTTTTTTGCTGCCGTATCTTTTGAAGAAGATCTCCACCACTGCAGAACTCCATCACAATGTACAGATGACCGTCAGCTGAAAAGAGAGGATCCATTATGTTTTTGACTTTTGATCTTATGAAATCTGAGGCATTTACAGTATATAAATCACCCTGACAAACCTTCAAATGAGTCTTTGAATGCCACAATGTTTGGATGCTTCATTCTGGACAGAAGCACAGCTTCTCTTCTGCTGTTTCTTATCCCAAAATCAGCCTATGAATCAGCACAGGAACTCTTTCATGCATTTTATAAGTATGATTAATATAGACTGTAATTTATTTCACCCAGAGCTTTTATTACCTTTGGCAGTCGTATTTCCTTCATAACATAATTTTGCTCTTCGTTTATAGGTTGAACCAAAAGAGCTCGACCAAAAGATCCTCCGCCAATGACTTTCACGAATGAATATTGATCCATTATAGCAACTGTCAGACACTGAATAAATGCTTAAAGCTGTTTTTCTTCTTCTTTCTTAGCGTAGTAATACAAAAATAAATCTTTGTCTGTTTTTCACCTGTTCGAGCTTTAAACAGAACACCAGACAACTGAATGGCAACATATATTTCTGTATTTACTCAGTAGTATTAACCAGTGCAAAACTGGATTAAGGATGTATTTGCTCGGGACAGGACAGTGGCCGCGCGACTATAGTATCCCCATTAGTTAGTTTCAGATACAGAACCGATCCTACCACTTCCTTATTGTCACATGACGTAGTCACGACGGTTTTGACCCGTGTAGCGTAGCCCGCACTGACTCCCCCCCCCCCCCCCCCCCCCCGTACGCAGCAAAAAAAAAAGGGGAAGAGACCCTAC